ATCAAATAAACTTTTGCTCAATTGAAAGATTTTTCAACAATGAACTAATCGTTCAATAACTGTTTTAAATAATATGATAAATTAGTTAAAGTATTGCTTGTAGAAGAAAAATATAAATCAACACTATTATCAAACAAGTGATATATTGCAAATAATATTATATATTATTTTAGCAAGTTGAGATTCATATTTTTTTAATTAATTCATAATACAATATTTTTAAATATCTCTCTTTAGTCCTTACATCTGTATTTAATAAAATAGCATAGTTTTTTGGTAAATTTGAAAGATTCTTAAAATTTTTGAATGCTTGCTTATAATTATTTTTAACAAATATATTTAATGAATAATAGATAATAATCAATGCTAATGATGATGTTTATTAAATACATGTGAAAATAAATTCCTTTTATTATTTATATATTCATGTAAAATAATGCTTAAATACTATTGTAATTATTTTTGACATTAATACCTAATATTTCATTTAGTTAGATTATTTTAAAGAATGTTTGTTCATAATTGAAATAAATTAAATTCTAATTTTTTAAATTGAAAAGATATTAAGAATCTATAAAGTATATAAAGAATAATTATGAATAAATGTATGCAATCTGACATTATAAATCTATCTATATAAGTGATCAGATTTAGCAATTTTTACCATTTTTTTTGGATATTTAAATAATTTCTAAAATAAAATAAATTCTGATTTATCTTTTGACAAAAATGCTTTAATAGTTATCTAAAAAAATCTTATCAATTTATTAGCTATAAGATAATATATATCTTAAGATATCTGAAGATGTTTTTTTTTTAACTGATTAAGTATTTATAACTATATATGTAATTTAAACACAGTTATAAGCTTTTTACTCTTAATATTATTGATATCAGTAATGTAGTGGAATAGCATCCCACAAGATTTTTAATATTCTAGACTATTTCAGCTAAAATAATTTATACTATTTTATCTAAGATAATTATTTTAGTAATTACTAATTATTCAAAATTACAATATATATATATATATTCTAAAATGTTTCAAATATTATAAAGTTTTTGTTCAAGGATTTGAATTGTCTCAAACTGTTCCAACTAAAAATATATCCTGTCTTAGTCACAATATTAATTAATACTATAAAAATTTCTTTAAACTGACAATCTGTAAGATGATGATAATAAGAAACTAATGGACCTTCAGATGTTTAAAATTCTTTTTCTACATTATAAGTATAATACTCTCTTATAGTGCTATACCTTTTAACTTCAGTTAATGCTATAAGTAAAGCCCTATTTTCAAATCTTAAATATTTCAGATTTTGAGAGCTAATCTGAAATTTATTCCTAAATTTCATAATTTGGACGAAAATCTGATATTATTTTGAAATATTTTAGTCTTCTGGTACTATCTGATATATCTGAAATTATAATTCATGTGACTTTAACTATCTAAATAAATTAATTCAATAAATTAAAATGTAACATTATTTTTCTAAAATGATTTTATTTATTTATTTTTTTTTTTTTGAAACTTTTAATTTTTCGATTTTTTTTATATTCAATAATTTAAATAATTTATTTTTAAAGAAAATTTACAATGTGATAATAAAATATATTAAAAAAGGAATTTTTGTAAATTAGATCAATAATTCAACATGTTAGTATAATATTTACCATATTTTTACCTGAACAAGAATATTCTTTTCAACTTAATATAAAAAAAAGTAAAATAGAAAACCAAAATCTATAATATGAAGAACACATATTAAATAAGATTGATAAATTTTAAAAGGATATTATAATATACCTTTACTATTGCAAAAAATATTAGTATAAGAAAAATACTAAGAATATATGAAGAGCATTTGGCAGATTTATGTCCAGAAGTACTATTTGAAGTTTGAGAGATATTTGAAGATAATGATTATGAATTTTTATAAGAAGTAGAAGATTTTAAAAATAAGCAATTTAATTATGAGAAAGAAGAAAACTCTTGAAATTAAAAGTTTAGTAAATTTAGATGTGAAGAAAATTATGTCAAGTTTAGATAAAATAATGATATTCATAGTATTAGTAGTAATTTTGATACTGTAAATGATATTGATGAAGTTTAGGATCCAAAATCTATTGCAGATAAATATATAGATGATTAATTATTTGTTTTGATATTAATAAATGATTATATAATAAATAAAATATTTAAATTTTATTTTTAAATATTTTTATTTATCAAATGTTAAAATTATATTATTTATAAATTTTGAATATATGAATTAATTTCAGATAAAGTTTTAGAATATCAGATAGATTTCAAAATTTCAGAATATCGAAAAATTACATTATCAAATAAAATAATTTCAGACAATTTCAGTTTTAAATATTGGCGATATATATCAGTTTCGCCTATATCATTAACTCTAATCAAATTATTGTCTTGTAATAAATCTGCAATTAAATCTTTAAGATTTGTAAAAACAAAACTTTTATTTTCTTAAATATTTTTTTTCTAGTTTTTCATATTAAAGTCTAATAAAATCATTAAAATCACCATTAAATAGAATAAAATTAAGAACAAAGTAATTTTTTAAGTTGTTTTTTTTTGTTGAAAGATAAATTTTTAATTTGAATATAGACACCTCTTAGTGAATGGTAGACATTACAGAATATTTTAAAATTATCATAGTAAAGGTTAATATTAAGGTTACTTGTCTAAACTTATTTTAGATTTAGCAAAATATTAAATTATAATTTTGCTAATTTTATTAAGATTTTGATATAGCTTTGCATTTTTATAAGCTTTGATATAGTTTTTTCATTTTCAGAATTTCGCAGATTTTTTAATATAGTTTTAACATAATTTCACTAAATTTTATCTCTTTTTTATTTAGATGACTTGTAAAACCTCTAGGTTTCATCTAGTAATCTTAGTTGATATATAATTTATATATTGAAAGATTTATTGCTTGTTCATTTAATAGAGTAAGTTCAAAAGAATAATAGTAGAAATATAAAATTTTTCTCATTTTCTAATACCTTGATATTTATAAAGAATTTTACAATTAATAATTGAAGAAGATTTATTATTAACATTATCTTTATTATATAGTATATTTATTGAGATATATCTAATAATTATTCATAATTCAACAGTTAGAGTTGCATTTTCCATTTTTCAATCTAATAATTAAATCATTTTTTATGATTCTACTTTGTAAGTTAATTGGTAACTCATTAATTATTAAATATTATTAAATTGTCATTTTTAGTTTACCATCTATCTCTATATTTGCTAAAATTCTATCAAATCTTAATGATGATTCTTTATAGATCTCTACTATTATATATTATTAAAAATCAAATAATAAATAATCATTATTTTATAATAATTATTATGTATTAAATAAGTTTTATATTGAAATTACAAAAAGTACATTTTATTTATAAAATATAATACTTTCATTAATCTGAATAAATGCATGACTAAATCATAAAAGTTTTTTCATATATTTTCATATAACGTTTTTAATTTTTTTTAACTTTTTAGTCTATCTAAAGTACATTTGGCTAAATAATAAAATTATTAAGAGAATGTCAAATAATATTAATTATAAATAAATAATACATTATTTTAATTTCTAGAAATGTAGATAGAACTTTTTATTTAAAATGTGAATTATTCGTATTTTGATTGAAAGTAAAAGTAATCTTTGTCGATATTTCCTAAACTGATGAACTTCTGTTACAATATTTTTACTTTTGAAATATAGATTTTGAATAATATCTACTAATTCATCATAAGCTCAGGTAACTAATTATAAAATTTAATTAATATTTAAAATGATAATAATAAATAATAAAATACGATAATGATAATAATAAACTTATATATGTTATACTTTTAAATCTAATAAAACATTAACACTTCAGTAACATTTTTAAAATATGATACAAATTCTCCAGTAATAGGTAGCATCTATTCATTATTTAAGAATTTATCAACAATTTTATCAGAATTTTTATTACTTAATGTTTTATTAGATTCTTCATTATTTGAAGATTCTTTATTGCTTAATGTTTCATTACTAAATAAGCTTTCACTCAATATTATATTATTAAAAAAGTTTTCAGCTAATATTATATCACTAAAATTACCTTTAATTGATACTCTATTATTTTTACTTAATACTTAATTATCAAAAAATCCTTCACTTAAAGTTTTATTTATATTTTCATTCAACTTTTCATTATAGAAAAAGGTTTCAGAATTTCATTATCAAATTTTATATCATAATCTATTTTATAGTTAGATACTTCTTTATTATCATAATTTTTACATTCTATTCAATATAAATATTATTCAATATATTTTATTATTTTATGAAATAATATGCATTTTAAACATATTTTATAGAATATTTATCATTTAATATAAAGCTGTTTTTCTGAATATTTGGATATCTTATATAATTTTAATGAGAATAGTTAAAGGATATATAACAATTGCAAAACATTTATATAAAAATAAGAATTTTTTAAAAAAATCTTTTGTGAAAAATAAGTTTATTATTATTTAAATATAATTATTTATAGTGGATTTTCTTATTATAGAAAATAGACAAAAATTTGAAAGTTGAAACTTGAAATAAGCTTATTTTTTTTAATATGATAAATTGATAATTACTAACCAAATTTATGTAATAGCATTAACAATGATTATGAAACTGACCAAGATTCAAGAATTACATCTTTGAGACTGATGCAAACTTAAGTATTGAAATCTAATAGTCGATATATGCTTAATTTACGTGATACCCTTAATCAAACAGAATTTTTCAATAATCTTTCTAATAGTAGAGGATTACTTTCAAGATCAACGTCAATAATTAATTCAAGGGAGAATAGGTAAATAGATCAAGAATTCTATCGCTTCTTGAAAATAGATGTTTTAAAAAAAAATTAATAGAAATTTGCCTTTGTAATTATTGTCAAATTCAAGAATGAATGGTGCATTATACTATAACAATGCTCCTTCATCTCCAAAACAATTGCCCTTAGAATCAAGAGTCAATGCAAATTTTGATACAATTAACGAACTTATTCCATTGCCATTTAATAGAATGACGATTTACCAACTTTGTTTGTGATTATGCAATCATATTGATGTCTTACAGCTGGCAATAATATGCGATTATCAATGCAAACTTCTGTTTTAGAAGGGTCACAAGACATATCTTCTATTCCTTCTGCTGCTCCACATGGTCAAGAGAAGGCAAGAGTTAGCCGCGACTTTTTAGAGGAACTAAAATGTCTTTTTCTTCGTGTTCAAAATCCAAGAAAAGTGTATTTGAAGAGTTGATACGAAAGATCGTCAATTGTGAGCTCAATTCTGCAGAAGGCATTTAATGGATTCAAACAGCAAAATCAAGTTTTGATGATTTTCGTAATAAATTTCTCAATAGTATTTGGTTACAACTTTCAAACAACCAAGAATATTGTTAGTATGATATATAGTATTTTTTTTATATTTATATTTCTTTTTTAATTAATATAGGCCTATGATAAGATCTTTACAAAGAGATGAAATTATCAGTTTCGTGGATGAGATCATGATGTATTAAGTCGATGGTTAAATGCAACCAACATAGATGAATTACATGCCTAAGGTTCCATGCGTCAATTGTGCTCTTTTGTTCGAAATGCATTTGCTGTAAATTATTTATCAAAGGATATTGAGGGAACAAAAGTATTGGATAGGATTACAGAAGACATTGTAGTACCTTCGCGAAATGGTAAAAATTTCGCTAGTGAATTGCACCTGTAATTTACATTTATTCTATTTTTCACAATACATTTTAAATAACACAATCATGCTCATAATTACCTTTATTCTTTATTACGTATTTTATTTTCATAAAAATGTACGCATATTTTAATATAATAATAACAATGCATTATTTATAGCTTATATTTTTTATAGTATATTTCTAAGAATCCGAAAATTATCATTGCGCCTTTATAACTTCAGCTTTCATTTTGCGAAAAACTAGTTGTTAACGTTAATAAATATTTTTACGATTATTATTAATTTCATTAAAGATGTCGATGAAATTCTTTAGATATATCGAGATGGATGAACGCTACAATTTACATAACTGCAGTTTCACATCAATAAATTCGAAAAAATTAGTACTATTGAAAATTTAATCGTTAACTATTAACTAATACATCGAAAAATTCTCTCTATCCAATTGTTTCGGTTGATATTCGATTTTATTTCTATTTTTTAAAGATAATTATAATAATTTTCTGATATTTCGAAACAATAAAATGGTGATTTTTTTACAATTCGTGAATGTTTCGCTAAAAAACAAATAGTAACGTAATCAATACCAATTGAATTCGAACACATGACTACTAAGTGGAAAAACTCGGGTTTCTGTAAAGTTAAGAATTGGAGAGGACTTTTAGATTGGATTACATTAGCATATATATTTACATATAATATTACTTTAATATTATTGCAGAATAATTATTTATTTGAATTTACAATATAATTACTGTATAATTATTATGGAGAGACCAATTGGAATACAAATAATAAAGAAAAGGAACTTGCTTTGCTTTGTAAAATGCTCATTTCTCAAGTCCAAGATG